CGTTCAGACTGCCAGATAGTGTGACACGGATATATCTCTGCTAGAGTGGAGCCAAATATTCAATTGGCGGCTAACATTTTAAATTTTGAGGCGTTGGCACGGAATTTGGCGGCGCAAAGGGTCGTGACAATACCGAAAACTGAACAACCGTTAGTTTCAAACCTTGTCACGGATATTGGTTCAAAGAATATCCGTTCCAACACCGAGAAACCATTCGAGTATTTTGGAAACCCTATTGACTCGGTTTTGGCCGTCCCAATTCCGTGCCAAAAAACCGAAAATATTTAAACCTAACATCAACTCCCACATCCGTACTTCACACTTCACCCCTAACACCCTAATTCACCTCCGCCGCACTACACCCACCTCCGCCGCACTACACCCACCTCCGCCGCACTACACCCTCCACCGCCACACTACACCCTCCTCTGCCACACTACACCCTCCTCCACCACACTGCACACACTTCTCCGCCAGATGCCACACTCTCCTCCGCCACATATATACCCTCCTCCGTGCAAAGTTAAACGACGATGACAACAGTTCTTCTACAACACCGTCCTCCACCACACATGTACCCATTAATTCCAGGTCATGTGTCATTTTTTATGTGTTATTTATTTTGGTAGTTTAAAATTTTGTTACCACAAAAAGTTTTTTAGTTTTTATTTAGTTCAGTAGTTTTATTTTATTTAAAACAATTTTTTTTTGTATTTAGTTCGGTAATTTCTATCTTATTTAAAGCAAAATGTTTTTATGTGTTATTTACTTCGGTAGTTTATATTATTATTTAAAAGAAAATATTTTTTATGTGTTATTTATTTTGGTAGTTTATGTATTTTTTAAACTACCTAATGTTTTTATTTGTTATTTATTTCGGTAGTCTATATGCATGTGTGGACAGTATGAGTTTTATAAATACTTCTCACTTTTTTACAGAATATTCTTTGTACTCTGTCTGTATAGAAATTATATATGCATGTGTTCACATATTCTGGATTAAATTTGTACTGTATGAAATTATATTATTGTCTTGAATGAAATTTGTATTGTCATTTAATTCAATAGGATGTCTGGTAGAGGTAGTAGTCTTCAGTCTTCTAGTTCTGGCCATGGTGGTCACAATCGCGGTCATGGTGGAAGCACCACAGACCGCCGCCTGCAAGCTATTGTGAACCACAACTCTCCCAATACCGACCTTGATCTTGAATCAGTCCACTCCAGAGCTGGTAGTGAACCACCCACCGGAGTGAATGATGCATCCCTTCCCAATGTCATACAAAAACATGGATAACCTTCTTGGAAATGAGAAGGTAATTAATAGTCCTAATCAAGATTACATAATTTTAAAACAAATATTATTTCATAACAACATTTTTTAATCATTGTTATGTAGCAAACCTTCTGTTCTGGACACCATCATTAGTATTCTAATGACAAACTTTCATGGGCCTTGGCATTCTTACAAGCACGCTGATGAGTCCCAGTGTGAGCGTTGGTGGACTCTGTTTCAGGTTTTGTATAGTTTCATATGTTGCTAAAAACCTTGTTATCACATTGGAGTTTGTTTGATGTTTTTGTATAGGTTTTGTGACACTGTTTTATGTTTTTGTTTAGAACAAATATGAATGGGATCCCTACATCCACAAAAGAATAAAGAAGCGGTTTGCATCCCGTGCCTCATCGTGGTTGAGCAAGAATATTGGGAGAGCTAGACGAAAGGATGAGAAGCCAGAGTGGATTTCAAAGGAGCATTGGTCTGTTCTTAAGGAGTATTGGGGTTCTGAAGAATTTAAGAAGAAGAGTGAAGCAGGGAAAAAAAATCGTAGCACTGAGGCAGCAAGTGGTTCGCAATATCGTGAAGGTCATATTCCGGTGACCACACATGTTTAAAGAATGGTAATTAAAGTTCCTAAACGTTTATATTTTTTGTGTTATTTCAATTGTACTAACAATTCATTAACATAAGATTCTTGTTGTGATTACAGACTGAATCTATGAAGAGAAAGCCTTTAAAGATTGAGGTTTTTGAGAAGGTGTATGTGTCCAAGGCTGGTGATCCTCCTCCAAGAATTGTTGAAACGAGGGTACGTTAATTATATATACATGAGTAGTAATATTTGTAATAGTTTTTATTTTACTTGCTAAATATAATTGTTTGTAATATTTTGCAGAAAAAGTACAATGAGCTGAAGGCCCAAGCAGAATCTGAGGGGAAGTCCTTTGACATTGATGATTCGGAGTTGTTTTGCAAGGCGGTGCCGGAGTACAAGGGGCGGTGGTTTGGGATGGGTTTCGAGGCAGAGGTGTTGTCGGGCAGCATGGATTGCACAAGTCGAATCACGAGACCGAGCCAAGAAGAGATTGATGCCCGCATTCAGGAGCAGGTTGACGCCCGATTTGCCCAGCAACAGCAGATTTGGCAAAACCAGATGGCCAACATGACGAATACGTTAATGTCGTATTTGGAGCAGGTGCGGAGCGTCAACCTGAGTGTCCCGCTGCCCGAGTTCTCAGCTTTCCGAACACCGACCCCTCACAGAATTAACAGCCTTCTGAACAACTCTCATGAAGTGCCCATGAATGATATTTTTAATGCTGTTAATTGAACTCCCCAACTCTGAACAATTTTTTTTTAACTGCTTCTAATGGCTTTTGTAGCCATTTGTTGGGACTGCTTACAGTTTTACAGTTTTTTCTTTCAGCTGCTTATTAATGTTATGCTTATTACAGTTTATGTTATGCTTGTGGTTGTGAAATGTGATTATTATGCATGTATGTGGTGTTGAATATGTGAAATGTGAAATGTGAAATGTTATGTATAGTCAAAAGCATTTCATTTTTGTCAAAAATAAAAAAAATTAAAACGTATACAAAATGTATAAAAAAAACGTATACCGTACAAAAGTACGGTATACGTTTTTTATACCTGATACAATATTTGGCACAGATTTATCCGATCCATAAACCGATATAAACTTAATCGGTTGGGTTCTTTCTATCTGAGGCAAATGCCGAGACAAAGGATATCCGTGCCAAATTTTAATGGATTTAGATGCTAAGTGTGGGACGCGAAATTCTAGACAAAGGTCATGTCAAGTGTTGACACGGATCCTATATTCCGTGCCAACGCGTTTGGATCGACCCAGGTGGCACATATTTGTTTTCCGAGCCAAAACCGAGCCAAGAGCGATAGTGTGGGAATTTTAAGGGGTTATCCGAGCCAAAATCCTTGTCTATACCGATGTTTTTTAGTAGTGGTATTCAAGAGAGTTAATTAAAGTAGTAACAATGATCAATGAGCTACACTTCACTAAGTGGATTAGCAAAACCAAGACGGATTACCTTTGATATTTTCTTTCTTATTTTAGTATTTTATTTGCTTTCTCAATTTTCAAAATATTCAATCACCCTTCCGTTTACTTTGACTTCTTACGCTTACACACACGTGAAAAACACATTTCTCTGTGGATACGAACTCTACTACGCTATGCCGCTGTATTAACCCTTAATAGTGAATTTATTATGAGGCAAACAACGACGTTAGTGCCGTCAGTGTCGAATACGATTGTGCTGCAATTGAGGGCGCGACATTGGATGTGACGTAGAGAAGGTTGACTGACTCATCCTAGGAAACCGTAAATGATCAGGTTTTGGGAGGGAGAACCCTAGATTGTTGATACCATTTAAAATAAACAAGGCTCTTACATATTTCACAATATAATAACCCTGAATGTTTACACTATTAGGAATTTTCATTTCTTACTTACTAAAAGGGATTACCTGACTTGTGTTTGGTTGATGATGAGCATCGCCAAATTTGCTATGTGAGATTCGATTGTACGTAGTTGTGATGATTAAAATGGTGGTACAATGAGAAACCAACTTGAGTAGACACAAAGGACACACAAGTTGGTCCGGTTGGTCATGTAAGATGCGTCTCAGCCACTCTATTAAAATGGAACCAGTGGAATATCTCAAAAAATTCGAACCAACGTAGTGGAATCATGTATGTGTGTTTGGTTTGTGAGTTTGACTTTGATATGACACTACATTTAATTTAACCAACACTGCAATACTGCTAGCTTATGGTTTAATTTGCAGGAATTCAAGAACATGCACACACTCATTTAATACTCATCATTCACAAACAATTCCTACGTACTGAAACTTTACCCAACATATCATTAAGTTTAAGTGCAATTTCTTAATCGAGTATTTTGATGACCTGGTCACTAGAGTGAAAGTCGCACTTTAGTTTATATGTTCTTTAATCTTTAATACTGAGTAATATATTCTTAAATATATACAGTCTATTCATGATTTTTGTAGCCATAAAACCTTGATTAGCTAGGCAGATCACACAAAACTACACCACTTAATGATATATAGCATATAAAGGGAACATACCTAAACATAATATATATATTATGTTTTTTATTGTAAAATACATACTTCCTCCGTTCTTTAATTCTTGTAATATTGTGATTTTTGCATTATTCACATACCTTACTTTAATTTGACCACGATTTTCTACTAATATACATAATCAAATTATTACGTATAAAATATTATTGAATTCCTATCAATGTGAATTTCCAAAATATCAACCTTTTATAATGTTTACTAATACATTAATAATTAAATATAATTACAGTCAAAATTGTGCGTTGACAAACGTGAAAGTCAAACTGTTACAAGGATTAAAGAACAGAGGATAGTATATTACAATAACCAAAAAACTATGTTCTTACAACCCAATATCATCAAGTGATTCGAGGAATAATTGAATAAATGTAGGATTATACAAAGAGACGATAACACTTAAAGTAATTGCCCTGGATAGGACTAAAACATAATATTAATTCCAAAATAGGACCTTATCTTTTTTATTCCCAAAATAGGACCACCAATTCCAATAATACCCTTTCTCCTTATTTTAATTTTTCTCTGTGTAAATCCAATTAGCACTGTCCCCCTTTCTTTTCTCTTTTTTTTTTTTAATTTCTCTCTCGTAGCATCTACACCTCCCCCTTTCTTTTCTCTTCAAATTAAAACACTAATACAAAGCAATCATCTCTCTCTTCTTCAAGCAGAACGATGGAGCTTCCTAGGCGGATCAATAACAGAGAGCATGTGACGCACATCCTAGACGGAACAATGGAGGACGCACACGGGGCTGTACGGCGGCGGAGCTGCAGGGCGGTTGTGCGGCAGGACACTTGGGTGAGTTTTCTTCCCTCATTTCTTATCCGGCCATCTTCTTCTTCTCCGGTCATTTTCTTCTTCCTCCTTCTTGCCCCTAGCCTCTGTTTTCTTCATCTCTTGGTTTATTTGTTTATTCTCCATTAATTTTTTTATTTTTTTTACCTAGATTCAAACTGAAAATCATTATTTTAGATCTGAAAATTTTTTCTTGAAAAATTCAAGACCCAATGAGTTTGACCATAAATTTTGAAATCATATTTTAATAATTGTTTTTTTCTATTTCTACTAATTATTTTAAAAAATAACATTAGTTTTCCTAAGCATTTTCAATCTGAAAATATAGTTGGAAGAGAACTCATTTTCTTCTTCTTCCTTCTTCTCTTCCCCTCATCCTCGTGCTCCTCTATTTATCTCCCAATTTTTTGCTATATTTTGTTGATTTTATTTGTGTCGATTTGACACTATTAATAATGCCATGATTTTTCATGTGAAATTATTATTTGACATTTAATGCCATTTTTTATGACACTAATTCCATCAAAATGGTTAATAATGCCATGTTTTTTCATCCATAATGCCATTCGTATGGCACTAAATCTCTACTGATGGAAATATTATTATACCCTTTACAAACATTTATAATGCCATGAAAATATGAAAATAGCAATAAGATAAATATGCATTATATATTTTAATATGAAAAAATGACATTTTAAAACACTCTTTTCAAATTTCAGATCGCCGGAGGAGAAACCAAGGTGGTGGTGGTGCCAGCGATGACATGGGTGGCGGCAATAGGGGTAGAGCAACCGACAGTGACGGCAGCATATGATGTGGCATGGAACGACGGTGGAGGCAGAAAAATTGAGGAAAAATTCTGGATATTTTTTGCATCGCCGGATCTCCGGCGATTGGCGGTGGGGTGACAGGCGGCGTGACTCTGGATAGGCGGCGCCGGATCTCTGCCAAGACCGTCGGATCTCCGGCAGGCGGCGGCCAGTGGCGGAGGAGATGGCCTGCGGCAGTTGCTCCATGGTGATGATTGCTGTTTGGTGAGCTTCGTACGCATGCGGAGGACCTGCATTAGTTGGGACTTCTAATTTTTAAGGATAAATTGGTCAACTCATGTTATTTTTAGTCCTATTAAAAAGTACTCCTATTTGTGCAATTCCTGACTCATTTAGTCCTATCCATGGAATTGTCTCTAAGACTTACTGCACGAAATTGACTCGCTAACCATTTGACGGGAAAGTTAAGGCATTCATGACGACATTGGTCTCAATGCTTAGAAACTAAAAAGGGCATGTTAAACTATCACATAGTAGCATAGAAAAAAAGCTACGCAAAAATGTGACTATGTATATCCGTACAGGTTGTTCACGAAAGTATAACCGTAATGACATAGTTATGAAATGTAGATGTAATACAAGCGCACAATACGGAGTACTTCGAACTACGTAGAAGATAACATTAATTCATCTGATTTAGCCCGACCATAAGATCTATCTGATACCCGATCACTCAATTTTTTGGTTGTGGTGTAAAGTTGTTAATGCATCAACCTCATTAATTACAACCTCATCACACTATTTATCCGCTAGCTCATGATGAACTTACCATTCTGAGGCGACATGGGATTGTTGCTAGCTAGAACTTCATTAATTTGAACAGATTCAGTCAACTTCAATATCACCAAACAAGCTCTTAATGATCAAGTATTGTAAACCATTATTTGAGAAGATCAATAATATAATTTTTTCAATGAGTGGTACGGTACCCCCTTTTAAAAATAAATGTACCGTACATATCATGCATTTGATTGATCGAAGTCATTATTTTATCTTGACGGTTACCTGGGGGGCCTTTCTTCGGCGATTGCGCCATTACAGGCCCAACCCCCCAATGATTGAAGATCCTTTGTTTCAGTATTGTTGGACAAGGCAGATGCTACTCTCTCTTCTGTATCTCAAACACACTATAAAGGTATGGCGACAGTGAACTTTTCAGAAGAGGACATTGAAATTTTGGCTGATAAACACAAGAGATCACTGATCGGTTACTTTTATAGAGGACGTCCTACAATGGCTACTCTACACAAATCATTTGAAATCATTGGCTTTAAAGGAGGTTTTCAGTTGGGTTTATTGGAGAAAAAACATGTATTAATCCGTTTAGAGTTGGAGGAGGACTATATCCGTTGTTGGAACCGTCAAACTTAGGACATTCATGGTAATACGATGCAGGATACCAAATGGTCCCCTGATTTTAGGCCAAACATGGAATCACCTGTGGTTCCGATTTGGTTGGCATTTGAGAGTTTACCAATTCATTTACAGGATAAAAGGGTTTTGTTTGTCATTGCAGGATTGATTGGTAAACCTTTAAAAATGGACGTTGCTACTACGACACAGGCTAGGCCTTCTATTGCTCGTGTGTGTGGACTTGGACCTAACAAAGGAAATGCCTAGCAAGGTTTGGAATCAAGCAAGGAAGACACGTTTTTTTCAATTAGTTGTATACGAAAACATACCTCTCTATTGTGTATCGTGTATGCATTTGGGATATGAGTCACACAAATGCCCTAAAAAAGTGGTGGAGGGGGCTCCCATTATGCAGACAGAAACCAAGGTACATCTGGGTCGTAGATGGGTGCATAAAAACAATAAAGATCATCATTTGACTACCACTATTGCAGCAGGGAAGGGGATCAATATTACAACAGCAGGCTCAGAAACTAACCAAGCCAATGAGAGAGCTATTGTTCTTTTACAACCTTGATCAAAACCAACTACTGCAGATAAAGGGAAAAACAAATTGATAGAGAATGGTAACAATTTTCAGTCCATTTCAAAAGGAGAAGAACTTCAGTGTGAGCTTAGTGACTCTGACATTGAAGAGGTATTCACTGAAGATCCACCAGGGCCAAAGATTCTTAGGGAGATCCAGCTGGAAGCTCAGGGACTTTTGGATCCTTCCAATCTCAGCCGGGCTACAGATGACCTGCACATCAAATTAAAGAACTAGAGCATAAGATGCAAAATGACACACATACTTCTCAAGAGTTGAAGGTTAAACTGCTGCATTGGAAAATAGTTGTTGGTATTCTCCCTATCACTGATAAGCTTGCCAAGTTTAATGTTGTTCTCAACCCATCTAGATGTCGATTGTGTAAACATCATGTAGGTACTATGGAACATCTTTTTTACTGGTGAGAGATGATTAAACCAATATGGCATTATTTTATGAGTATTTTGGATATCACCTCTTTCGATCCTATTGTTGACCTAGCACATTTGTTTCAGAAATGGTGGTTTAAGGCTGGTACAAAGGATTAAACTAATGTGGCATTATTTTATGAGTATTTTAGTGGTGCGACTTGATGTGCCCACAATGTTATTCTTGGCAAGCCAACTCTGGAAGACCTTGAGATGACAAATTCCCTCAAACACCTCTGCATGAAGTTCCACACTGAGACCGAGGTTGGCTATTGCAGAGGAAGCCAGAAGATAGCACGCCCCTGCTACGTAAAAATGACGAAGAAGATGGTTGCTAGAGATATGGGGATCAACACCATTTGTCAAGCTACACTTAAAGAGGAGGATGATCCAAGAGCCGAGCCAGTAGATGCGCTGGAAATAGTGATCTTGGATGAGGCCAATCCAGAAAGAAAAGTCGAGAACGGGACCAATCTGCAACCGGGTCTAAGGTAAACAATCATCATATTTCTATTAAAATTTAAAGTTATTTTTGCCTTGTGCCCTGATGAGATGCCGAGGATAAGTCATGACATTATCACACATAGGCTCAGTGTCGACCCCCATGTGACACCAGTCAAACAGCGTAAACGCTACTTGTGCACGGACATGCGGGAATTCGTCAAGACAGAGGTTACTATGCTCCTTAGCATAGATCGTATCGCCGAGGTTGAATACTTGGAATGGCTATCAAACGTCGTTCTAGCGTCTAATTCGCCGACCTTCCGCATGTGTGTGGTCTACACCAACCTCAACAAGGCATGCCCCATGGATCCGTTCTGTAACACCAGACCCGAATTTCACTATAGAAATTTCTTTTCATCAAGTATGGAGTTAAAGAAAGTAAATCAAGACTAAGAATAGTCTTATTAATGAGAAAGATAAAATTCTTGTTTTAAATTAATAAATGATTATTAAATCGACATGGGACCGAAGTAGAGAAGTAGTTGTAAAACCATCTCCGAAAATGTTCACTTATAACGTTGGGTAAATTAGACATGCGCCTTGATAAAAGGTTGAGATGGTGAAGGACCAGTCATTAAGATCTCAAAGTACCTCAAAAAGGCTAGGGCTTTGGGGTGCAAACCATTTGATGGGATGGAGGATATCTCGAAAGCAGCCGAGTGGATAGAAAGGTTTAATGATGCAACCGATGACATGCAAGCGGTCCCTGAACGGAAGTTAAGGGTAGCCACTAGATTATTGGAAGGTTTAGCTTCTACTTGGTGGTAAGGCATCAAGGGTAAGTTTGACGGGGTTGTCACGTGGGACAACTTCGAACAAGCATTCTATGAACAGTTTTATACCTCTTTCGAAGTAAATCAAAAGAGGGGGAATATACCAATCTCAAACAAGGCAATAAGTTTACGGTGAAGCAATTGGATCAAAGGTTCCGAAATCTGGCAAGGTTCTTGCCTGAATATGCCGCCAATGAGGATAGAATGGCAACCCACTTTTGGAATGCACTGAATTTGGAGGTACGCAAAAGGGTGACCTATCAATTCAACATGACTTTCAGTCAGGTAGTAGCCCATGGTCTCCAAGGGGAGGAGCTTTGGGAGGAAAAGCAAACAGGGGTGCTAGGGAAGCACAAGAAAGGGATCAAGTAATTAATCATCCTCCACGGCGAGGGAGGAAGTAAGGCTTTCAGAGAAAGGGGGACTCTAACAAGTCAGTTCCATTTTTAAAAGGGAACCAGGACTGGGTAAGTCAAAGCTCAAATACTCGGAGCACGGGAGCACCCAAATGAGAAAATTGTGGGCGGAAGCACTACGAGATATGTCTAGAACCATATAGATGTTAATTTTGTGGGGGATCAGGCCACATCAAGGTCCATTGTCCCCAACGTACACATGAAGGGACATTAGGGGCTATAGGAGGAGTCATGGGGGTTGGAACCCAACGGGTGTTGCCTCAAACATTGTACCCTCTACAAATCGAAGACAAACTCGCTCGTGAAGGCGGGAATGGCGGAAGCCGTTTGTTTGGCACGACTATGACATAAGGTATTTTGTTTTGAAACTTAACGTTCTTAAGTGTATTATGATATTTGAAATTGTTAGCTTTAGATAATGAAGGGAGAAGTATTTCTCAAAGGTTCAGATGTTAATTTCAGGGACGAAATTCCTGTAAGGTGGGTGAACTTGTAACACCAGACTCGAATTTCACCATGAGATTTTTTTCATCAAGTATGGAGTTAAAGAAAGTAAATCAAGACTAAGAATAGTCTTATTAATGAGAAAGATAAAATTCTTGTTTTAAATTAATAAAAGATTATTAAATTAGACGTGGGATCCACGTAGAGGAGTATGTGTAAAACCATCTCCGAAATTGTTCACCTATAACGTTGGATAAATTAGACATGGCACCTTGATAAAAGATGCGGTAAATTTATTTTTACTGATTAACTTTTAGCATGTAGAAAAACTACATGTGGGACCCACATCGGGAGCGGGACCACCTGTGGTATTCTTAGTGTATAAGATATTAATGCTTATCTAAACAATACTATTATGATAGTAGGAATGGGTCATGGACCCCAGTGATATAAAGAGCGACAACTGGACGGTAAAGCGGGTCGGGGCCACTATTCGATGGTGGGGAATCCTTAATTATCGGATTGTTAATGATTAGGAAGACTACAAATTAATAACAGAAGAAATATAAATATTTTAAGAACCTAAAATAATGGGATGATAAATATATGATTAATTTGGTACATTAAAGGAGGGTACTTCTGGAGGACCCTACCTTGAAGATATATTGGTATGGAAACAAGGAGATAAAGTTTTATCTGTTCGTACATTTTGGACCACTTAAAAAGAAGTGTAAAATTTCATTAAAGTGTCACAAAATATGAAACCACATATTGAGTCATGAGAAATGACGAATGAATTTTTGAGACAACGCGTTTTCATACCGTTACTTGAACAGTAAAACGCACGTTGGGCCCACACTAGGGCGGGATACATCAAATATTACTGGGACCACATATTATATTCATCTTGGTT